CGCATTTCGTTCACTACATCCTCAAACGTACTCTTCATTGTGTTGAAGGGTCCTCCAGGTGCGTCTAAAGGCTGAAGAAAATGACTTGTGTGGGGGGGTAGACCCATCAGTATGATATCGTTGGCGATGGCGCAGTCGATGGCCTTGGGGGTTACATGCGCGCTATGCTGGTCCATGAGTAGAAGCACTGGCTTCTCCTGTGAGGAGAACCTGCAGAAACATCTCTCCAGCCACTGGACGAAGATGTCTCCTTCAATGAACCCAGATGACGTTGTAGCGTATACCGCGTTGTCCGGCCCCTCCAACCGGTATGCTGAACTTGGATAGGCCTTTGAAAAGATTATCAAAGGCGGGATGACTCCTCCGTCTGCTGAGACACATTCCATAGTGGAAATATGATCTCTCGTGCCCTTTCTTACCGAAGCAGCCGGCGCCCCCATCTTTTTGAACGTTACCACGTTCTTCTTTTGTGGATCAAGATCGAAACCCGTCTCGTCTACGTTATATACTCGGTGGGCTTGGCCTGTCAAGCCATTGTCGCTGATCCTTGTTCTGTACAACTCGAAGAACTCTTTCACCACTTTCTCGTCAACAGCATCTTTCCTCCCGCGGTCGAGCGGAGAAGGCTTCCTTATGGTCAGGTTGTTACGGCATTTGAACCCTTTCCACCATTTTTGAGACAGCCCCTTTTTCCGATTAACCTTGGGTGTCATTCCCATCTCTTCACAACGCCGCAAGTGGGTTGCCAGGGCCAGTGAGAGAATCGCCTTCTTACTAATGGGGAATCCCCTGTCAACGCGGTATTTGATGTAAAACACCAGACTTTCCTCCTCTTCCTTGGAGAGGATGTGTGGCCTTCCGTTTCGTGCGTTCACTTGACTTTTACCCTTTATTTTGTCAGTAAGGGTTGTCCGGGGAATTCCATGTTTTTTGGCAGCCTGCGTTGGCGTTAGGTGATTTTCATTAACATCGTCTAACACGCTCTGCATTAAGTTTGCGTCCCAGGTTTTCCGTTTTTTTCTCGAATTTTCCATGTTCTGAAAATTTTATTGTAAGTCATTATATGGTAACATTGGTGGAATGCAGTGCCATTCTTTTATTCATTTATCCGACCATTCATTCATTTATTCTGTTATACTAACAAATCAGCCATCTTAACTTACTAGTATCTTAATTATGAGTAATCTTCGTTCAACGTAAAGGTTCTATGGCTCTCAAAGTCCTTGAATGGTAACCAACTTGCTATTCATTCATTTTCAAAAATCTACCAGTTTGTTATCACTTCTGTATTACATTAAACAGAGCACACGGAAAAGTTATGGAGCGATACTGTGTGGCGTCAACAGTCCGAAATTGGACAATACCTCACCTAACCTTGAAATACACCGTCCTCTTAATTCAAAATGGAGCCATCTAGCGATCCATATCGAAATCGCAACAAGAATCCACATTATTCCTTTTATAGTTACATATTAAGCGTCTCTCTGAGTCCCTGAATGCGTTTAGAGCATAATGTAACGAAATTGTCACCTTATTCATCCCTTTATACAATAAAATAAGGCAAAAAAATGTTTACTACAAACCTTTGTCGTCCGAAGTTCTAAGTCTAGACCCGCCCAAAGCCTTCTGGGTAAGAAACATGGCGGCGTTCCATTTGCGTCGGAAATAACGAAATGTAGTCGCAATAAGAGCACGTTTTTTATTGATAAATCACAGCACGCCAGCAGATTAAGGTTAGGAAAGGAAACTTTATTAAGCTTTCTTGTTCACCAGTATGTTAAACTGAAGGTACGAGCGATATTTGTCTGCTATTCCTGTAAACAAGGGCACGATGTCTCCCTCCCACGGCGTAGTTCGGCCGTCGTAATAAAGGCCAATAATTGTCTGACCTCGTCCTCTTCGTATGCATGAGTGCCAAGTCCCACGCGGCACGGTACTGAACTCCTGGGTGTTCAACCTGTGCATACCTAAAGGGATAACTGATAGTGCATTGGTATATCTCTCGCTGTACACCGTTTTCTAGCGTGACGGATAAAGGTACTTTGACGGATAAAGGTCAATGGATGTTATATGGAACGAAGCTGCTTCCGTAGGTGTTTGTTCTACAGTAAGGAACATGCAGATGTGTATCGTTCCGTAGGCGGAGATTCAGTTGTCTTCGGCTGTCTCTGGTGGTGGGAATTAAGAGCTGGAGGTGGGATGGGACAGAACCTGATACCAGTTTGTACATGATCAGGAGTCGGTTGAAGTCTCTCCTGGTTGCGAGACTATCCCACTCCAGTTCTTCCAGGAGCTTGCCATGAGGCGTGCGTGCCATTGCACCTGAGACGAGGCGCCCCGCATGGTACTGGACTTGCTCAAGGGATTTAGCTGCCGTGGAGCTGATGTTGCTGAGGAGGACGGACGCGTATTCCAGCTTGGTGCGGACGAGAGTGTTGTACGCAATCTCCATGGCATCACGAGGTAGCTTGCTTTGGAGTTTGCCCAGCAGCCCTAGTACTTGCCTCGACTTGCGGCAGACCACTTCTGAGTATTCCTTCCAGCGAAGTGTATAGTGTATTGTAACACCTAGGTGTGTGTAGCAGGTCACCTCTTCAACGCGCTGGCCTGCTATGTAGATAGGTGGTAGTTTCACTTTACTTTGGAGTGTCCTGATACACATGACTTTGCATTTGTCGGGGTGCAGCTGCAACCCCCAGTCATGGAACCAGTTGGAGACAATACACAGGTCAGCGTTGGTCGTGTTGGCCACTTCAACGGCTGTGCGTCCGGAGTTATACAAAGAAGTATCGACCGCAGTCACATTTTGAAATCATGATTTGGAATGGAACAGCGTAGTAGTTCACTTGTCTGTTCGCTCGCGCCTGATATTTGAAAACATGTACAGACAAACCCCAAGTGAGCCTCGCTAGATCACGCCACCGCACATCCTCCTCAGACAGGATGTACACATGTGCCGCCAGAAAGTAGTACGTGACAAGTTCGCAGCATCTGGTTTTAAGTGTTCGTTTTTGAACTTTTGTCATAAATCCCGACTCTGACCAGTAGCAAAGTACTATAACCATGCTTGTTTATACAACTTGATGTATGATATCCCCGCCTTGGTATACAGCAATTAGTACTAGTCCGGAGCGGATGGATACACATACAGAATATCCCGTCGCACACCGATCCAGCTTCAGTTGGAGAGGAAGGGCGGTGGTGTGAGGTGTCTGCTGAATTGTCTGGTTGTTTTGTGTTTGTGTTCTTCATTGTTTTCCAACTTACCAAGACTGAATCTTAAAGATGTGAAAGTTACTCGTATGTAGATGTGGACAAGTTCCTGTAGAGGAAATTTTTCCACACTATGTTTGTAGTCACAACAAATTCTCATTACTTCTTTCTCATGTTGACAATTACAGATATGAGATCTGTGATGGAAGACATAGTCATACACAAATCATAGGGAACTAACAAAAAATATCAAACATTTATGTCCAAAGTTACCCCCTACATGGTCATGCATGCAAATCATGGTGAATCACTGTCACTGGAGGATGAGGTTTCCACAGATGACTCACCAGAAAGCCTTTCTATCCCACTAACGTTTTCACTCATGCTGGTCTCGTCACCATGTTTCATTGTTTCATTTTCTACATTACTCTGCATGACTCCCTGAGGCTCACTCGTCATCTCTTGTGTGGCCTGATCGTCATCTATCCAGTACTCTCTTCTCACACTAGTAGGTTCTGACCTGCTACTTGGCAGGTTTGACGGTATGCGTTTGGTAGTATTTGAACTTGGCTTGATATTCTTATCAATATACTTCTGACACTTGCAAATGATGTTGCTTAGGCGCCGGCTGCGCCAGGGTGGCTATCTGACCAGAAACATCTTTTCACCTTCCTCGTATGTTAACTCTTCGTCAGACGTATTCTCTCGGTCGTTGGCCATTGCATCTAGCTGTACAGCACACCTTACTTATACTGTCTTGTTCGAGCAACTCATTGCACACTTCATAGTACAGGTCAATCATATCCTCTTTCTTTCCAGATCTTTCTAAAGGAGAGAGTTTATCATGTTAATATGAATTCACATCCTGCACTACAAACTGGGTCAACATGATCTTTGTTACAATACTGGGCTTAAGTCTGCCTAGTGATGTCTTCTGTCCTACATCTCTCCTCCTCAGTTACATGAACAATTGTCTGACTCACTTAAGATCTTTTCTGGCTTAGCAAGAGTGATTCGTCAAACATCTTTATTTTTATTTGCCCGTGCGATCCTTTCAAAGTACACTAGGTTTGTAGTCAGCGGTTGAACTGTAATAGACGTGAATGGTTCGCTGAGCATGTGGGATACTTCTCTGCTCGGAGTCGGGTACTCCACACATCGACTTCTGTCTCCAGGCTGTACCGGTTGTAGGATGATGTAGTAGCGCTGTCAGCAACACCGATAACTCAGGAGAAGTGGACCCTCAGCTGTAGGACACAGGCAAGCAAAATGTTTAGAAACTAACTTCAGATCAGGTCAGAGTTTACTATTACAACCCGCAGTCTCTCCAATTAATTTCAAACATGCAAGCACGCTCAATTTAACATGGCCTTTTATTGTTTTTCATGTAATGTCCTGCACACAAACATCTCAACACAAGGGTGGAAATAAGTAACTGCAGGTGTTACTCAGCTGCGAGTGGTACCCCCTTATTCCACGCCTTTGATGCCTTGGTTTTCTCCTCTAATTTGGCGTCCATGCCATCACTAAGGGACTTATTTCCGCCTGTAACCGACTCTGTTTTCTCGATGAGTCGGGAGGGAACATACACAGGTGTCCATGGAATCCAGCATGTCTAAGAGTTGGTATTTGGGGTAATATCTTCCATTGAAAAGTGGGAAGAAAACGTCGATGCCTGCTTGGATGTATTTGGTGTTGTTTCCTCTGGTGCCAATGCGGAAGTTCTGGACGGGTAAGGCATACAGGAAAAACTTTTCCTTTAATAGGAAAAGTGTTAGGAAAAAAGCTTAGGAAAAGAAGAACTTACACCCGGCCCTTGTCCACCGCTGCACGGATTCCTGTTCGCTCCCAGCCCCGGAGGATGGACTCTGTGTTGTTCGCGATACTGTCCATTGCTCCCAGCACTTCATCTTGGACAGCTTCAAGTCCACGGTTACGGATTCCAGGTCGCGGTCTTCCCTGTGCTCGGCGGTGAAGCTCTCGGCGTAGTAGGTGATGAATCTCTGCCGGAGTTCTTTCTTCAGGACGTAGTTTACTCCCCCATCGCAGTCCAGGGGCTGCAACTCGCCAGTGCAGCTGGCTGGCACGAAGACCGCGAGGATGTTGTGCTGCTTGAGCTTCTCCAGTAGTGCTTGGTTCCGATGGGCCTTGAACACGTCGAAGATCGCGAGCCCGGGCTGTTCGGCGTCTAGTCCGAGGGCCTCCCTCTGTGCTTCCATGTACGGGATCAGGATGGTGTCAGCATACCAGTGCATGGTGTCCACGTTTGAACAGTGACTCTCACTGTGGTAGATGTCCCACTCGCTGGGAAAGCTGAACTTCGGGTGACACGCGTCTGTCTTCCCTTGGTAGAGTAGCTGCGGTGGTAGTAGCTGTTCCGACAAGGAGATGGAGGCGAAAACATTCATGACTGTCTCCACCGCCTCGAGTGTGTCTTCCGATCTGTCGCTTATGGCCTTAAGCTAGCAGACCCGGAGAAACCTGCGTGACTTTTTAACCGTATGCCCTGTTACTCAACTGGTACATGTCATCTGTTTTGATCCCTACAACTCGATATTATATCACCCATACAGGTACATCGTGTCTGACTGGAAGGCTTTATTAGCAGAGATGATGGGAATTGTAGGCACAACTGGTAATACAGAATACTCGGTTGGGTTAAGGCGGCCTAGGCTGATATTCATGTTTGAGTTCGGGCGTGTGCCTGCGCGATGGCCACAGACATGTTTTGAACCCGAATTATGTTCCGCCATATATATTGCGATATGACGTCATTCTAATAGAACGCGTGTTCGAATTCGGGGTTACCGGCGGTCATTTGTATGTTTCGCCTGTAAACCCGCGTTGTTACGCATTTTATTCACGGAGTATGACTAAACGGCTTTACGCGCAGCTGAAAACAGCATAATTGATCTTAAGAGTCATCCATGTTTACGTATTATCACTTTTTTATCAAAATTGTCCGAGGCTATTTTGCATATAAGTCGATATTTTTTAACTGTGGCGATTGTTTAACGAAAAATGACAGAAAATAGCTGTTTCTGTCCCTTTTGGCCCAAATAAACAATGTAACTGTCATTTAAAACGAAATAGCCTCGGACAAAAATAATAAATAGGGGGTTGGCTTTCTACTTGTAAAATAGCATGATGAAAGGTGTTGTTACCGCTTGCGCGTAAAGCCATGAAGTAAACAGCTTTTTTTAACCAAAATGCTGATTTTTAACCCAAAACTCCAGAAGTAGTAAAAACAAAACCTTTATTCAATGTGTTTCAAGTACTACTAGAACTGTGTGAAGTTTAGTTGTGGTACGACCAAGCTATCAAAAGTTACAGGCATATGTATTAAATAATACTCATAGTATGCCATAGGCTGCCTTAACCCAACCGAGTATAGTTAAATTTTGTTTAAAAACACTAAGTAGTCCTCATGTTTATATCACCAAGGAGGTTTAAATTCTGATATCACTAACAGGTAATGTTACATGACAAGTAATAGTCATCTTGTACACCTTTTCCTCTGGCTGCTACTATTTGGGACAGGCCTGATCAGATCAGCTGTTTCCATCAAATTCCTCTGGACCGTTATCACATAGGTTCAACTCTTATTTTAAATGTCAACTCAAGTCTCAATATACATGTTAAATTTTACAATTAATTCTTTTACCATCTCATTTTCAGGAAACTACTTCTGCATACAATGCTACTGTACAAACGTAGGGTTGCCACAGTTCAGACACGGTATTACATTTTCCTATTTTGGGCGTGAGTGACATGCCAACAAGGCTTGTTGTGAGGAATGAGGGACTTCCCTGCATTCTACATAATCTGTTCAATAAATTAGTGATTTAGAGTTAGTGTACAAATCGATGACAGGTGTGTATATCAAACATTAATGATTTATTTACATGTAACCATGTTATCTGTTCAGATTACCCCCGTAGAACACATGAAACAGCTGTCAGATACATGACGGAAAGGAGACCAGAGACCATCAGAACCTCCCAGTGATGAAGATCCCCTGGAAGAACATCATCATTGACACCTTGCATATGTAAGTGATATTACCTAAAATAGGATGAAGCTTGAAACTAATTCGAATTTCATTGCATTTATCACATTGTGGGCAATTATATGCGCTGTAAGGCCACACTGATTTAATTTTGGATGACATCCTCTGGGGACCACAAAACTAATGCGAGAGGGCGAAAAAAAAATCCAGCAAAAAAAAAGACTGCTTAACCGCAGGAATACAAAGTCGATATTGCGGATTGAACCACAGGACACAGTGACTGGATCAAACAAACAAGTTTTTATTTGCAGGAGGTAGATGTAGATAGTATTATTCTGGTCTCATCCTCCTTCACAGCTTCCTCCTTCACAGCTTCCTCCGGAGCTCCTTCACAGCATCCTCCTTCACAGCATCCTCCTTCACAGCATCCTCCTTCACAGCATCCTCCTTCACAGCATCCTCCTTCACAGCATCCTCCTTCACAGCATCCTCCTTCGCAGCTTCCTTCTTCGCAGCTTCCTTCTTCGCAGCTTCCTCCTTTGCAGTTTTCTCTCCCTACAGAAAAAACGTAAAACGTATTGCTTGACCTACATTGTAGGTAGATATATACATTAATTATAACTTATATACAGTATATAGTTTATACTTTATACCCTGTAGAAGTGCATACAACAAGGGGATTGAATACATGTGAATTTTATTTCAGATAAAAAGTTTGAGATCAATATTTTGGGCAAAATGTAAAAGGTAGAGCAGAAATAATAACCACCTGAAAGTTAGTGGTCCATCTTCTTCCTCTCTAGATCTCTTCCTCTTCTGCTTTCTCTTCACTCTTGTACGCTCTCCAACACCAGCTTTGCACACCTACAAAGGACATGGTATGCAAAAATGATTTACTTGGAATGTATGTTTCCAAATAAAATTGAAATAAAGTGTATTGTAAGTTACAACATTACTAATGCAGGTGAGAATGAATGTACAATTAAAACATGAGGTACACAATAATATCTAACCTACCTGGCACACTGGGTGAATGCACTGAAACTCTTGCAGTTTCTCTGGAGGGATGGGAAGCGTGTTTGTTTCCCCACACATCCAGCAGACCAGTGGCAGAATGGTCAGCGCCCTAGACTTGACTTGCGCAGAGTAGTAATACACCTGGTGCACTACATGAAAGAGCCCTGCACAAAACGGATGTGAAACAGAGAAATAAAAATCATTTTTCAAAGAGGAAATTTTGTGAAAATTTGCGAGAGCTCAATATTAAAAGAACACCCAACAGAAAACCAACAAAAACTTGCATTAAGAAATGCATCTTGTTGGAAATTTGCATTATGATTACAATATTATAATCAACATACAACTACTGTACATCATTGACAACTTTATTTTGTCTGTATCATAACACGTGTACGCGCCCCTCCCCATAAATTTTGCTGCGTTCCCAGATTGTCGATCAAAATCAGAAAAACAAAACAAACAAAAAAATAACTGAACTATTCTTACCTCAAAAGCTGACTTCTGCTGACAATCTTCGGCTTTAGTAGTTGCAGTTTTGTCAACAACAATACGGACAAAACAGCCGAAACTGAGAAGTGGCCTGACCCACTTTAAGGCCACCTCAACTCTCCCGGCCATTTCTCTCATCGTTGTGGCCGCTCTGGCATGTCTGGAAAGGACGTCTGTCCGGGCGATACTCGCTGGCTACCACGAGTCGCTCGTAAAGCTGGGCAAACGTTAAAATCCCCCTCGCCAATGTCGATGGCATACCAGTCGACAACAACGCCTCCAGTTTTCCTCTGTACTTTGACGTATTTTGAGGAGAACGCTGCCGCCATCTTGCTAAACTTCGTTCTTGTGGCTAGTACGCAAAAGGTTCATTTACGACAAAATTGACGTTTTGCGGTAGTACAAAAGAAGTTTTACGATAAGCCGCCCTTTTGCGGCATTCATGAGTCGGCAGTCTGTACCGAGTTGCAGCGGAGTTCCATGAAGCCTCAAAAGACATGATTTTTTTACAACAAGCTAAAATCAATGCGCGCGCGAATGTCATCCAAAAAATTAAATCGGTGTGGCCTAAACTGACATGAGATATCAATATTTATGAAAATGCTGGAACATCAATAAAACTCACTGATACGCAAACATGACATGACGTTGCGTATGAGAGACTCCAATTTGTTTATTCTTTAGTACTCATACATAACAGAAACTACAAACATCAAAATCAAGAAGCATACACGTCAGGAATGCATTTTATTCCTTAGACCCTCCTTCGTTTACTGTTTTTATACAACATAGATTGTACCCGTGGCAATCGTTGTGCAATAAACTTTTTTTTTAAATCTTTCTTTATTTGAGTTTTATAAATGAACAAAAAAGCATGGCAATATATAACTGATACATGTCGTACCGCAAAACAAATAATAATACACCTGGGAACAGAAATATTAACTGTTTAGTAACCCCAATGCCGAAAACATATCATTTATCCTTTAGAGTAGATCACAAATGTATCCTCTAGAATAGATCACAAATTACCTATAATAATATATTATCTATTAGTTGCCTACTACATGTGCCTCTTTAAACAGAAAATACAGTATTAAAATTTCCCCATTTTCCCTTATGTTTATGTACTTTATCTTGTCTATATGCAATGTTCAATTCCAGTTTGTAAATATAGGAAACAAAGGATTCAAAGGCAGACAAATTTAAAGAATAATTCTTGTGTCTAAAAACAAATATCTTCCCAAGAAGAAGAATAACATTGGACAGAACAGGGCAACGGTCACCTGAGGTACCAAAAATTATATTGAGTGCATTAATATGCAAATGATTATTTGTTATTTCAAAGAACCAGTTGTCCACCTGACCCCAAAAATTTGCAGTTATTGGACAGTCCCAGAACAGGTGGACTACTGTTTCTTCTTCCTCTTTACAAAGGCTACATAAGGGGGAGTCTATCAAACCCCATATATACAATATTTTGTTACATGGTAGAAATTTAAACAGCAATTTATATTGAAACATGCGGATATTAGAATCAATAGAAATTTTATAAGGCAGACTGTATATCTTATTCCATGGGAGCGGAGTATCAAAGTATTCTTCCCATGAAAGCTTTATTTTTTCAGAGGAATCCCATAGGCTAGCTTCGTTCATATAAAATCGGTACAAAATTTTGTTAATATTTCTATTCTGAAGCCAGCCTATGTATCTACATATAGGGAGACAGACGCCCAATGTTGGAGGCTTCTGTTTCAACATTTTCTTCCAAGCAAGTGGAATGGCAGAAGTTAGTTGGTTGTATTCAAACTCAGAGCATACTTCCCCAAATTTTTGGCTGAGATCGTTATATGTAAGAAATCTATTTTCGGAGTCCAGAATGTCATTTACAAAGATAATCCCCCTACTAAACAATATTTGTGAAAAAGAAAGGTTTTCTATTCGAATGAAAGCTCATCTGTGTTGGTAGAATCCATAGTTAAAGAGTTTGACTTGTTCCAACACAAGAAGAAGAACTCACCATAAATTTTCGGCTGATCCCGTCAACCTTCGTCAGATTTGTGATGCAGTCGCTGACTTTCCGGAAGTCGGAAACGTGATGACGTCAGGAGTGCATCAAAAGTGGCGGGAAGACGGTATCTCCCACCATCACGGTTCAGAGAGGGTTGGTGGGCCCTGATGTAAACTGCCTCCTTCACGCCTCTCACAAAGTAATCCTGCTCTACTGCTCCGTATATAGAATGCGCACCTTGTCCAATGTAACTGTATGTCCGGGGGACTCGATGTGTGTGTGTTGCGACACTTCCGATGTGTTTGAACTAGCTATAGGGCGCCTGTGTTCCAAAAATCTAGTCATGAGAGACCGTTCTGTTTCCCCTATGTATGTCTCTGGGCAAGGTCCTCTGATATTTTGACCTGCGCACCGAATGTGATAAATCACGCCACACTTTTGTTCTTTGGGGGTTCTGTCTTTGGGGGCCACTAATAGCTGTCTTAACGTACGGGTCGGTTTGAAACACGTTTTTAAGAAAGGTTTTCTATTAATAGTTATGTTCGAATTCAGACATAAAAGTTGCTGTTTGACCTCTACAACCCCCTCAGGCGGCCGAAGTTGGAACTTCAACCAAGCCTGAATAACGTGAGAAAAGAACGTACTTATTGGTGATCGTCTTCCCATAAGTGATTCAAAATCCACAGTTTTCAGTTGACAAAAGGGAAACAAATTCGTTCGAAATATGGTACTTGATCAGAAAATTAACTTGGACAAAACCACTCCTTATTCAAATACAATTTTGGTAACCAGGAACCTTTCAAAGTGAAATCTACAGCCCGCAAATTTCTAAGTTTCAGCCCCCCCCCCCCATTTTCGTAAAGAGCATACAATGTTTTCCTTTTAACCCTCTCAGGACCATCTCCCCATAGAAACCTAAATATCTTTTTCTCATATCGATTAAAAAAGTCAGGGGGACGGGAGAGAGGTTAATAAGAAAATGAACTGTGGGACAATTACTGTATTGACTAGAATAATTTTGCCCATAAGGGTTAGACCTTTGGATTTCCAAAGCATTAATAATTTATCTATTTTGTCAAATTTTCTACAATATCACACAAAAGTTTTGGAATATGAATTTCTAAAATATCAACCGAGCCATCTGTCTAGTGGATTGGAAGTGGACACGGTAGATTTGTGCCCTTAAGAGAGCCAATCCGTAATATTATACACTTATCAAAATTTGGACATAAACCTGATAATAAAGCAAAATGTTCCAGGTCCTTAACCATAGCATACAAAGAAGCCAGTTCTGGGGCGAGGGGGAAATTTGAATCGTCCGCATACTGCGAAACTTTAGATATAATACCAAACGTATGCAAGCCCTTTATTTCTATATTATTCCTAATTTTACTGGCAAGCAACTCGACTCCAAGAATGAAAAGATAAGGGGATAGGGGGCAGCCTTGTCGGACCCCACGGGGCAGGTTAAAGGATTTAGAAATAAAGCCATTATTTATAATTTTGCTAGAGATGTCATTATAAAGAATTTTTATCCACGTAATAAAAGAATCACCAAAGCCAAACTATTTTAGTACTTTAAAGATAAAATCTAATCCAATCGTGTCGAATGCCTTTTCAAAATCGGCAATAAATATAAGACCGGTCATTTCATTTTTCTCATAATACTCTATGATTTCTAAAAATCTTCGTATATTATCGCTAATGCAGCGCCCGTGCAAGAATCCAGTTTGGTCGTACGATATCAAGTTCGAAATAACATTTCTCATGCGACGGGCGAGGCATTTTGATAATATACGTGTGTCACAATTAAGAAGTGTGATTGGGCGCCAATTTTTAATATATGAAGGATCTTTATCCTGTCCCGTGGGATCCTGCTTAAGTATCAATGAAATGAGACCTACTTTTTGTGTATCTGATAAATGATGTTCTTTAAAAGAAAAATTGAAACACTTCAAGCATAGGCTGCTTCAAACAATTGAAGAAGGTTTTGTAAAAATCAACTGGTAGGCCGTCTAAACCTGGGGCTTTCCCGGAGGAAAAAGAATTAATTGCTTCCTTCAGTTCCATTTCTGTTATTAAACCGTCACATTCCCCCCTCCCCTCAGCTGACAAAGGCTCACTTTTAAATTTCGGAAAAAAAGGCTCAAATATCTCCTCATCTAATAACATAGGCGGCTCCTTAAAAGAATAAAGGTTATGGTAAAATTTGATTTGTTCCTCAAGAATTTCTAATGGGTTGGTTATGGTATGATTATCTTCGGCAATAAATTTCGACATATTTTTTCTAGATTTGTCTCTTGTGACTAAGTTCATAAAAATTTGGTACATTTTTCACCTTGTTCCATCCACTTGGCTCTCTTATTGGCGATCAAAGTGTTTGATTTAACCTGGTAAAACAATTCTAATTCGTTTTTCTTTTTCTGTAACGTATTAAATATGTTGGAATCAGATATAGTATCTAATTTCTCCTGCAGGCTGCAGATTTCTCTTGTTAGAAAGATTTCAGTTTTCCTATGCTGTTTGTATTTCCAAGAAGAATATTTGATAATATGCCCACGAACACAACATTTAAATGTTGAAGAAGATCCCCCCCCCCATTCTGATTGCCATTCTGTTTCCACAGATTAACGAGTGGGTTTCCTGTACGCAGTAGATTTGAAAAGATTTATCCTTTAACCAAGTAAATACTTCATTTGCGCCATGCAAAAAGAAAATGCTAATAAATGTTATATATAAACAAGGGAAGGGCGTCCGCAGAAAGCGAAGGTTAAAGTTCAACAACCGAATGTTTGTATCACATCTTCCGGTCAAATTTGGGTTACTAGCATCATAGTCAACACTACAATAAAGAACATATTTACATTTAAGTACACAAAAACAAGTGACGTGCCATGCATACATATAATGAAACATGATCCAACTTACTACAAAAGAGGCAACTCTACAATGGTCAACTATTTTCGTTGAATGAAAGAAAAGATCAGGATTTTCAATTTTCTAGTTTCTATTTCCAACATCTCGTTTCCATTACATCAATACACCGGACCGAAAATCAGATTTTCCATTCAAAGAAAAGAAATTTTAGCATTTATGTAACATTTCTATCTTTTGACATCATTACACAAAGAAACAAGCCAACTTTTCCAGTCGACAGTCAGGATTTTCTCAGTCAATTCATCAACAAAAAAAGGAAATCTTCCATCCGCTTATCTCAAGGGCATTCTACTTCTTTGGCCAGGGGTTCAAAAACATTGGTCTTTTTAACGTCTGGTTGTAGCTCTGGTGACTGTGAAGCTTGTCGTTTGGCGAAAGACTTCCTGCGCTGCGACACAAACTCCGGATCCCCCGGTATGTCTGCCACGCCCTGCTGCAAATCCTCCTGGCTGGTCAGCAGCACCCGCTGGTCACCACGTGTAGCCCAGATTCTCCCCTCAATAGTCACTCACACAGCTGACAAGACTGATCCATTTGCAACCAATTTCTTAGCTTGGTACAAGAGTGCCCTGCTCGCAGGGGATAGGTCTGGACGGACTGAGATGAAAGACCCTGCTTCGTTCTTCTTCCCTTTCAGGGCCTTCCTCGCATCGTAGACCTTTCGTTTAGCCAAGAAGGTTTGAGAATTTAACAATAATGTGTCGCCCTGATCCTTTGGCACCCAAGTAATGAATGTTGTCTATTTCCCCCAGCATGATGGTCACCTGTAGGTACTCTTGAGCAAATTCTACGAATTTTGCAGGGAGATCTTTTTGGTCGTAGTTATCTGGGAAGCCCCACACACGCAGACAATTCTTCCTAGAATACTGATCGCTATGGAACTGGCCTGCTTCCAGTGATTTAATCTTTTCCTGGAGGGTCTTTATCAAATCATCTTGGGTCAATAAACTTTGACTTGACCATAAAATACAGCCATCACCCTTAATGTCCAAAGCATTATTTAGAAATCAGCCATGATTGGATGGAATGATTCTGTCTCTCTTCTCTGATTATGCAAATAGGATCCTCATTTGCATGAATTATATCAGTTGATCATATTCTCCATCAAAAGACAGCCTTATCTTAACAAAGAAAGCCATTCAATCATTTCCTCATAAATTATTCAAATGATGTCCTTATTTTAATAAGTTATGTTTAATAATGTTCACCTTCACTTAACTTTCAAATACCCAAGTATGAAATTCCAGGCAGTTAGCATTATGGAATTATAACAAATATGCAAATTAAGTGTTAATTTACATATCAATATCTGCCTGTGTTTCTCTCGTTCTCAATTACATGTCACAAGCTTGAATAGTCCTATGATGTAATGCATGTGATTTATATAATGCCATTAATTATGCAAATTGCATCCAGATTTGCATAATTGTCGCATAATTCTGTCAAGCGTCACTTAAGCTACCTACATACCAAATATCAAGATCCGCCCACCGGTTCTTGAGTTATCCTCTTTTGAATCTTTTCAAACAGATAGCCCTGCAGTTCTTGAGCAAGCCGCTAGGGGGGCTCACGCCACTTATTTATTCCCCAGCAAAAGAGCTACATACCATCCAAATTTCGTCACCCTGGCATGTCTAGGTCATGAGATATCAAAACCAAAAGTTCAGGTGCAGTACCGCAACAAGCCGGTAGGGGGTTCAAAATCTAATCATTTTCAGCTGTCATGAAGACCTACCCACCTACCAAATATCAAGATAATCCATCCAAGCTTTCTCAAGTTATGGTGTTGACAGACACAGAGACACACGGCCAGAAAAACATAACCCTCGTCAAATAGCGCAGGTCTAGCAAGAATGGAACGTTTACTTAAAACAAGTTTTTCAAAGTCTAATTCATTTTACAATTTTTTTTATTATTTCATACTCACATGACCTTTTATGTAAAGACAGAAAAATACCACACCTTTCCTTGCAGCTTTTTCTACAACATCACCAGCTGCCTAAATTTACCTACACAATGACATGTTGCTTTCTTGCTTTCTTTCTAACTTCATACACCTATCACCCATGATGTAGAGACAAAAAACACCACAGCCTTTTCTATTATAATACCGAGCACAAAAATCCCCACAGCTTCCTTGCAGCTTTATCTATTTATATCACCAGCTGCCTACAATTACGTAAGTAATCACATGTACCATTACCAATAAATGCAAAATACAACAGTAAAAGTTGTCATATAATTATTGTTAAGTTTCTGTATTTTCTTATATTAGTGTTGCTAAACGTTTCCCATCCCAAACTAGATCACGTAACCAAAAGTCACAAAAAAAAGTAGAATAGAAAGTACCAGTAAAAACCTTACAAATTTAAAAGGCTTGTTTAGAGCAGGTATGCTGGACTGAATTTATCGTTGAATTTTACACCTTACAGGTGCCAATATTATTCTGAGAAAAACATGATATAATCAGAGTTTTAAGACACATTTTGTGATTCATGAACCCATACAAGTGTTATTTTTCATAATGCCATCAGATATCACGTGGGTAGTGCAGGTAATATGTTGTTTATGACACCACCACGTGTAATTGTTATTCTGATACAGCTTGAGTTAATCAGAAGGGCGATATTACCGATTGTTTTTTTTTTTATTCTTACTGATATATAAATTCATTGAAAATGCTGACACATGTCACGGGTAGTGCAATGCCATACGCGTGTTAATATGGCCTAATCTTCATAGATACAAACTTCAGGGAGTAATTAAGGCTTCTCCAGTAGTACCACAGCACACCTTGAAAGTGTGGACAGGAGTACCCACAGTTGCCAAGGTAGCGACCGTTGAGGAAGGAGGCACCGCAGCTATCAAACCACCAGCCGCCCTGTCCGCGCTCCAGAGAACAGTGGCCACTGCTTTGGCGATCGTTGTCCCTGTCCACAGTGGAGAACATCTCCATGTTGTTATAAAGCATGCCGTCTCTCATCCCGTCTGTGCCTGAATACCCAGAAATGTGCAGCCGGTACTGGTCTGACTCACCGGACACCCTGGATGGGGACAATAAACAATCTATAAAAACACCACTTCGGCCCTGTTTTGCCACACATCCGCGCATGGTCATACACATTCACACATACTTATACACACACACACACACACACACACACACACACATATCCATATAAATTAACACGATAACACACATACGTACTTGTACGTACGTAGAAACAAACATTTTAGCACACAGGCACATAAACACGCACAAGCAGGTATACGGAAATACTACCGCGCACACCAATGCACACACACATACATACATACATACATACATACATAAACACTCACAGACGCACACACACACACACTGACGCTTCATTGTCTATATTGCAACACAAATGCCCACATTGCACAAAACAAAAAAACATGCAACGGCAAGCTTCACTTAGTTAAGTACATTAACTTACCAAATTAATGCATTAACGTACCAAATTAATACATTTTAATTACCTGAAAGTGTTTTACTCACCTGAAGGTGGTATAACGTGCATACCGGGTCTCTCCGTCCCAACCCTGCATGTCCACCCTGAGGGTATAGTTCTTCTGACTGGTCAGAAGGTGGATGTTCTCGTTCCCAAGCCAGTATTCCCCGCTCTTGTTCCCAAACCCGCGTTTATACTCCTCCCAAGTCCGGTTAAAGGGAACCGACCCGTCCTGCCGCCGTTGGATCACGGTCCAACCACCCCCTGGGGAAGGCACCACAAAGAAAATTGTACTCTTGCTTGCATTATATACATGTATTACTAGTAGGACAATAAGACACGACACGAACGTCCAGACAATCGAATTCAAAAGAACTGATCAACGTATATAGTCTTACTTTCCCACCACAGAGATAACTTATTGAAGTGGTTACAATAAAAAATAAAGAAAGTGAACTTATTGAATTAAAATAAAGTAATTTAACTTTCAAAATTAGCGATACAAAAGTATATTAGATTTTCACGTTGCCTCGTGCAGTACCTGCGATATCCATGTCACAGTAGGCCTCTATGTTAGAGGAGCCGATTCTAATGTTGTAGACTCCGCTTACTGTATTTCCTGCCGCATAGAGATCCGCGCAGTCTGACGCTGTGTGGTGAAAAATAATAATAATAATATGCAAAAATTTGCATATTTATACGCAGTCATGCACCTAAAGACACAAAATTCTGACTAGTTCACGTTGCACTGCAGCACAGGTGTCGCTGCTATAGATGCATCTCCAAGTGTACAATATTTATAGCATCTATAGCAGCGACACCTGCTCAATGTGAACCAGTTAGAATTGCCCTGAAGAAGGTGACAGACAATCACCGAAACGTCGACTTGGTTGTGTAGAAAGAATCTCTTTACTCAGTGACTTACCGACCTGATGAAACTATTCACGGATGCCTGACATTCCTTTTGCTGACAAAAGCTCAATGACATATAGTCGAATGTCGTGATCTGAAGTAACAGTGTAAATTTCTCACCGGTTATCAGGCCATCAGCGGTGGACACTGGCTCAGTGGGCAGCGTGGCTGCAGTTGAAGAGACGATGTCACCTGGCTCCAGCCTCTCACAAGTACACTGACATGGGAGATAGAGAATACAGATCTATTACTTTTTAGGAGATTTAGAGGAACATGCACTTAAAAGTATACAATTATATCGAAGTGCAGAGGATTCGTGTTCATCCTTTTTTATTTTATTTACAATTCAACATGGACAATACAAGACATGGTAGTGAGGTACTCTACCTCTAGCTAATTTTAAACTCACCACCAAACATACAAGTATACAGTGACAAAATACATGGCAAAAAACCAACAGAGAACAGCAAATGGATGGAAATGAACCGAGAGTGAACTTTATGGGATTTGACTTGCTAGAAAAGCGTGTAGAACCTGCGCCTATTGACCTGTTGGACGCTTGAGTGGACCTGAAAAGCTACTGCAAAGTTTGTGGTTCTGGATACGGTAAACAAAAGGTTCCTGAATAATTGAGAACTGTTGAGAATCAGAGACAAAGCCTCAAAGACAAATGTAAGTGCCTGATGGAAAAAGCACTGTAACTGTGTGTAAGGTCTTATGCTTTTCAATTAAAGACACGAAGAGATTCTGAAGAAATTTGAAAGTTGTGCTGACTATTACTTACTGCTAACTTATCAACTCTTACTCCCTTTTAAAATTTGCTTATTTTTCCTTCAGGCACATCTGATTATTTTATTTTGATCATCATCAAAATTTATGTTCACTTTATTTTGTTTCATTATCACTGTTCCCATAAGTTATATGATTAACGTTACTTTTATGTTATCATTTATTATCATCATTATTGTTATTATTTGTATTATTTCATTGTATATGTATTTTGTTTTACACTTTTGCTATTGTAAATCTAAATCAATCAAAATCAAAGGGAATAGTCAAAGCAAGGTTTTAACCCATACTAAATGACAAATCTTAGAATAACTCTCATAACATTAAATGTAAGAGGAATCAATAACTACTTCAAAAGAAGGAAAATATTCAGGTGGCTTCATGGTAAAAATGCAGACATAGTCTTTCTACAAGAAACCTTTTCAACAAAAGAAAATGAGAAGCAATGGGCTACAGAATGGGGAGGGAATATACTCTATAGCCATGGCACACCACACAGCAAGGGGGCTATGATACTATTTAATTCAAAATTAGACATAAAAGTTGAAAACACAAAAGTAGATAAAAATGGGAGATACATAATTGCAAACACCAAAATAAATGACACAGATTTATGTTTAATGAATTTATACTCACCAAACAAGGGGAAAGATCAAGAAATCTTCTTTAAAGAAGTAAACAACCTACTACAAGAACATGGAAGTGGAACAATCATAGTTGGTGGTGACTGCAATATATCTCTGACAGAGTTAGACAAAACAGGCGGAAGACCGATCAGTTATAAAGATACTGCAATCAAAGAAATAACTTCAACACTTAATACTCTGAACCTCACTGATATATGGAGACAAAAAAATCCAAACACTAGACAGTACACATGGCAAAATGAGTCAGCAGCTGTAAAGTGTAGATTAGACTACTGGTTTATACCAAGCAACCTTGTACAAACAAGTGAATGTAAAATTTGCACAGCACCAGTACCAGACCACAGAGCAGTATGCATGACTATTATGACTCCAAAGTACCAAAAAAGAGGACCAGGTTTTTGGCGTTTTAACAACAGTTTAATTTCAGATGAAAACTTCACGAGAGCTATGACAGAAACTATAACAAAGGCAATAGAAAAGCTAAAAGACATACAAGATCCTGGTCTTCGATGGGAACTCATAAAAATGGAGATAAGAACCTTCAGTATAGCATACTCTAAGAAGAAAGCACGAATGCGCAGAGATGAAGAGCAAGAACTAGAAAATAAACTCAACAAGTTAGTTGCAGAAAATGATGAAAACAATGATCCAAGTAAACAAGTTTTAATACATGACATACAACAGAAATTAGATGACATACAAAATCTTAAAACTAGGGGCGCCATAATTAGAAGCCGTAGCAAATGGTATGAAGATGGGGAAAAAAAGCACAAAATATTTTTTTAACTTAGAAAAGAGAAACTATCAAGAAAAAGTAATTACTTCAATAGTACAAAACGATGGAACTCTGGTAACAGACCCCAAAGAAATTCTAGATATAGAAGCTGAGTACTATCAAAATCTTTATACCTCCAGTAAATGTGATCCAACAAGAAAAGAATTTAATTGTTTCTTTGAAAATGAAGGGATTAAAAGATTAAATGAAGAAGATAAGATTAAATGTGAAGGAAAGATCACTAAACTTGAATTAGATAAAGCTCTCAAACAACTACACAAAAACAAAAATAAAGCGCCCGGTTGCGACGAACTCACAGTAGAATTTTATGTCAAGTTTTGGGATTTGCTTAAAGATCAACTTGTTGATGCCACAAATCATGCTTTTGAATTAGGTACACTACCAATATCCCAAAGACGTGGAGTTATTAGACTTATCCCCAAAAAGATTCAAACCTTAGTACTCTAGACAACTGGCGCCCAATTAGTCTCCTAAATGTTGACTATAAAATCATCAGTAAAGCCCTAACTATGCGAATAGAACCTTTACTCCCCTCCATAATCCATGAAGATCAAACCGGTTTCATAAAACAAAGATACATAGGAAGCAATATTAGACGCATATGGGATACCATAGAATACTGTGATAAAGAAAACACCCCTGGAGTAATTTTGTTTTTAGATTTTAAAAAAGCATATAATAGTGTAGAACCATCCTTTATAATTAAAGCTTTAGAAACCATGAACTTTGGAGAAGACATGATCAAATGGGTAAAATTAATGTACAATAATATAAACAGCTGTGTTATCAACAATGGTTACAGCTCGCCATGGTTTAATGTACAAAGAGGAGTCAGACAAGGGGATCCTCTATCCTCCAGCTTGTTCATAATTGGCCTAGAAATAGTAGCAACTAAAATTAGAACAGATACAAACATTAGAGGACTAGAAGTATATAATAAAACTCACAAATTATCCATGTATGCAGATGATATGACATCCCTGTTACTAGACATAACCTCTGCAACCAAAGTACTAGATACACTAAACCTGTTCAGGAAATGCAGTGGTTTAGAACTAAATAAAGGAAAAACTGAAGCTATGTGGATAGGATCAGACACCTGTACAGTGGCCCCAAACCCCATCAAGGCAATAGGTACACACTTTGGACACAACCATTTTAAATGTTATAAAGAGAACTTTGACAAAAACTTTGAAAACATGAAAAAGTTATGTGATGTATGGAGAAGTAGAAATTTAACCATGATAGGAAGAATTTTAATAATTAAAACCCTGGGTATTTCTAAGATGGTATATAACTGCTCAGTACTACATGCCCCATCATATCTTCTGAAACAAGTAAATGACTATATATTCCAATACGTTTGGCAAAAGAAACCTCCCAAGGTAAAAATGAAAACTTTGATTGGCCAAAAATCCCAAGGAGGCCTTAAAATGGTTGATTTCACAATAATGAACAAGGCATTGAAAGCCACATGGATAAAAAGACTTATTATTGATCCACTAAAGGAAAAAGAATTATTATTTTCCAAATGGGGAGGCTATCTTCTGTTCAAATGTAATTACTCTACCAAGTTATTGAATATGGAAAACCTTCCCCTATTTTATAGAGACATCATAATAGCCTGGGAAGAAGTCATACAACATGAACCATTATCACACAGGCAGATTGTTTCTCAAGTGTTGTGGAATAATAGATTTATTGTGATTGGGAATACTTCTGTGTACTTCAAATCTTGGGCCGTGGCTGGCATTACTTACATCGATGACCTATTACATGAAGATGGCACCTTTATGACAATGAATGACCTGTACAATGAATATGGTATAGAGATTAGTCCATGTCAAGTAATGAAGTACAACTCACTCAAGACAGCAATACCTAGGAAATGGAAACAAATAGTTAAAAATGAAAGACGAAAATGTACACCCGAAAACATCATACAGTACTCAGATAAGATAGACCCAAACAAATTAACATGCAAATTAATATATGATATAATAATGAAAAAACAATTTGTAATACCATGTCAACAGAATAATATCATACAAAAAATAGGTAACAACAATGTTAAAAACGTATACACTACTGCTTTTACAATAACAAAAGACACAAAGTTACAATGTTTTCAATTTAAAATTATTCATCGATACCTTGCTACAAACAACTGGCTAAAAAAAGTGAAAATGGTACAAAGTGACAAGTGTAACAATTGTAATGAAAAACACACTATTGAACATCTGTTAATACACTGCCATTATGTCACATATTTCTGGAAAGATTTTACAAGATGGTGGAAAAACGAAACACAGCAGGACCTAACATTAACTGAGAAGCTAATTATATATTGTATACCAGAAACTTCACACACAGATCCTTTTCTATTGCAATGTATCCTAATAGCTAAATATGTCATATACAGCTGCTTCATTAAAAATATAAAACCTGACATGAAATACTTCCAATGTAAACTAAAACATCACATGACAATAATGAATGCTACCCAGTAATTTGTTTACATGATATATATACACACCTTTCTTTTGTTGTGAAATTATGAATGATTACCCGATGTTATTTTATCTTCCCTTACTTTATCTCTGTTTATTATGTACACTGCATATGATTTGTTTGTATGATTTCATGTATACTGAATAAAGGTGTTTAAAAAATTTAAAAAAAAAAAAAAACATACAAGTATACAGTGACAAAATACATGGCAAAAAACCAACAGAGAAGAGCAAATGGATGGAAATGAACCGAGAGTGAACTTTATGGGATTTGACTTGCTAGAAAAGCGTGTAGAACCTGCGCCTATTGACCTGTTGGACGCTTGAGTGGACCTGAAAAGCTACTGCAAAGTTTGTGGTTCTGGATACGGTAAACAAAAGGTTCCTGAATAATTCTGTTTTTGACCGTTAGTGAACCAGTAGCTCTCGATATATGATGTTGTTGTCAGGAGAGTGTTTATAAATTGTTTTCAAACTCATTCTCAGTGATTTATGAAATATAGTTGGTGCTATCAGAAACTTCTCACTTTTCAAATAATTTTTCCGGAGTTGCTTGTTCATTTCCTATTACGTAATATTCTACATGGATGTCTCCATTACCCCATGTTTATGTAATATTTGTTCAGAATAGCCGACAAAATACATGTATGAAGAAAGAATGTCATAAATAAGTTAAAAGTTTCTCACTTACCTGCTGACGTTGTTTGATGGCCATGTCATGCTCGTACAAGGTCGTATTCAGATTCTGTACCCTGGTCTCTTGTTCTTGTATCTTCTTCGTCAGACGTGTTTCTTGTTCGTGTAGCTCCCGTGTCAGGTTCTGTTCCCGCTGTGCACTCCTGGCTCTTTCCTCTGACAGTTGGTTGGCCAGATCGGACTGCTGACTCAGCAAGGTTTCCACCAGAGACGACAGGCGATCAACTTGATTTTTCAAGCGGCCCGTTTCCTCCTTGGTCTCGGCGAGCTGGCTCTCGAGGCCCGGCGGTGCACAGCCCCCTGTACGGGACCCGGGCGGAACCACATAGGTGTAGGTACAGTAGCCCTTGTCTACATACTCCCTCAGGACGGACCCGGCCTGGTCGGTCCTGGTGTCCTGGGCGCCGACAGGGAAACTGCCGCACAGAAGGAAGGCAGCGAGCAGTAACACACTCGCCATCTTGAAGGAAGTAAACTAAAGCACCTGCGTCACACCTGATTTTGAAGCTTCTCACGGAAGCTCTGTTTACGCTGCGAGACTGGTATATCTTAGGAATGCCAGGGGCAGAACTGTGGAACGGACTGGGGAGGGCTAGTGTTGTAAAGTTCCCTTTACATTAACATCATCCTTGTAACTTAATCATCATAATTATAACCCTAACTGACTCCTACCTTAATTATCTTAAGAGGGCAGACGGTTGACTTTAAGACGACAAATGTCTTGGAAAAAGTTGATTTAAGGAACTGCGTCACACCTGCCTTAGAACGACCTGACGGACGTTTGACTCCTCTCCAGCTCAGGTGTGTCTGAAGATGACCTGAGTGTTACAAGCACCACTATGGGTCTGACTGGTGTAGGGAAGGGAGTTAACCATTGTGGCTATGAAATGGAGGACTGAGGCAGGGGTTATCAAATAAGGGCTAAGGCAGGGGGTTAGCAATTGTGGTTATCGAACGGGGCTATAAGGCAGGGGGTAAACCATTGTGGCTATTGTTGTGTCCCAAACCGTGCATTGTCCCAAACCATGCCCGGGCACGATCTGGGACACTCAGCGCGTGTCCCGAACCGTGCCTGGGGACTGAGCACAGCTTGGGACACGCGGATGCCTTGTCCAAAACCGTGCTTGGGCATGGTTTGAGACACTCGGCGCGTGTCCCAAACCGTGCCTGGGGAAAATCTACATTCTGAGACACGCGGGGGACTATCCAGAACCGTGCCTGACCGCACACAGTCCTGGACACGTATTATTTAAGCTTGCGTGCTAGGGGAGTGAACACAGTTCTCATAACATGTGTCCCAAGCGAGTTTTTTTCTTGTATTAACTAGTCTCTGCATATATTATCTAAGTTCATGTCGACCAAACATAAGACTAAGTTGTGAGAAAACTGCGTTTTAAAGGCACATGCTGTACACAGACTCGCAAAATCTCAAGTAATCTAGCCATATGAGAAATCGTGGGCGTGAATAATTATGCTTAGGTTCCCGCCAATCACTATGATTGACAGCGTTTCCGGGCACGGTTCTGGACAGTCAGGCCGTGTCCCGTTCTCATCCTCCCATGGCAGGGTCAGCGGCTCCGAGTTCCTTCTCCACCCCTAACCTTGCCGTATCAGCCTGCCTTTTCTACTCCGCGACCCGATTCCAGGGACACGCTCTCAGCCAATCACGTATCACAGAGAAAATCTTCAACGCACTTTATATGAAATATTTATGAGCTGCGCTAGCTATCGGAACCAATCATATCGGCTCTTACATCGGCTGTTCAGTGACAAATAAAAACAAACATGGCGTCGTCTTGGGAAGAGAACTTTTGCGAGTTCTTTGGATTGAAGCCTATGTTTCATGGGCTTTCCAGTCGCAGCAAGACTCGCAAGAACCAGAAAGAGTCGCGCGCTAGCAGCTGTGCAACTGAGAGCTGTTAGAGCGCAACTGGAGAGAAGTTCGTCTTAGTTGTGAGCCCGCTGAATGCGATAATGAAGGAGCATTGTGAGTTCTTGAACGGTCTTGGGCTGACCGCAGTTTGCCTCGGGATGGACAGTAGAGATACGGCGGGCATTCTCGCTGGGAAGTTCCAGTTTGTATTCACCTCCCCCGAGACTATCCTCGGCGATGAAAAATTCCGAGAGATGTTGCGGTCGGATGTTTACAAGGCACACATACATCGACAAACCTTTCCGGCTCCATACTTGTCTGTCAGGCCACACTTTGACGACCTGGTGAATCTGAGGGTACAGCGGTACCATGCTGTCGCCAAAAACAGTTCTGTAGTTTGTCCACTTGACGGCATTATTGCAAAGCAAACACGTTTTGGTCGCCAAAACCTCTGTACTCCCGAGCATATTCCCCCCATATTGAATCTGTATGGTGGCGGCCATGGGCGGAGCAAATTGAAACATGGGCGCTGATTGGTTAGAAATGGGGTCATACCAAATAAGGCAAGCTCATGAATATTAATATTCCTGGGGTCGCGGAGTAGAAAAGGCGGGCTGACACGGCAGGGTTAGCGGTGTAGAAGGAACTCGGAGCCGCTGACCCTGCCATGGGAGGATGCCCGTTCTGTGCCCGCTCAGGCACGGAATGGGATGGGCACAGTTTGGGACACAACACTACCTGACAAGCACAATTTTTGAGGAGATTTATTGAAGACAGTGGCGGATCTTTTTTGGTATTAGCGAAGGGTCAGTTAGTAATATTGTGTATGAGGTTTGCACTGCAATAGTGAACATCCTTGTTACCACAGTACTTGACTATTCCCCGAGGATAAAGGTTGAGAGAAACAGTAAAAGGATATGAAGAAATATGGGGATTTCCCTATAGTGCGGAGGCGCGATAGATGGCTCACATATTGAAGTCAGAGCCCCATCAGAAAGTCGAACGGACTTCTACAATTGGAAGGGATGGTACTTCATCACCTACTACGCCGAGAGCTTCACCGCCGAGCACAGGGAAGACCGCGACCTGGAATCCGTAACCGTGGACTTGAAGCTGTCCAAGTTGAAGTGCTGGGAGCAGTGGACAGTATCGCTAACAACACAGAGTCCATCCTCCGGGGCTGGGAGCGAACAGGAATCCGTGCAGCGGTGGACAAGGCCCGGGTGTAAGTTCTTCTTTTTCCAAGCTTTTTTCCTAAGATTTTCCTAAGGACTGCTTATTAGTACCAGTAATTTTTTTAACCTTAAGTAGTAGTACTGTACTTTACATATCTATTTGTGACATAGTATACCAACAACATAGCACCCCGTTCGCTACGAGAGCTGATTGCGCACCTCCTCCAACAATGAAGTGTGAGAATGTCGGGGGATGGACAGCAAGTCACCAGAAACCATCGGATCGGTGCTGTCATGGGCACCATCCGTATCATCCCTAACAGAGGCACCATCAACAACACCACTGACAGTGCACATCTCCACCATACCATTGATGAGGAAGCAGCTGTCTACATCTACGAAGGTAATTATAGAAGTGATTAGTACTTTATATAGGCATTGCAGGTATATGTACTTCTACTATCCATTCTAGTTACTAACTACCAGATGCAAATTCCTTTTTTTATATAACTTGACATTTGTAAAGGGTCAAACATTGAGGTTCGAGCATCATGTAACATGTAGATGGAAAGAAGTATGTTAAAGGTCTTTCCTTTCTTCAATCCCAAGGAGGGGAGGAATATGACACCCAGAAAACATCAGCAGCCAGTGTGTACAGAGAGAATGGGTTGCACTTTGAGGGCAGACATATCAAAGTGCAATGGTATGTCACAACATTCTCAATCCTAATAATGAAACCTTTTGGTATAATTGTGTGACGCTTGTTAGTTTACTAGTATATTATGCTATGTTGTTTATTGTGATCTCCTTTGTTTTAATTTAATCATAAAAGTACATTAAAAGTTATTGCCAGTAATGTTAACTACAACTATTTAGTTCCTTTATTAAGCAACAATGACTTAATTTTATGGTTGACGTCATCTGAGGTTTCCCAAACTAGTGCATGCAAACAAACAGTTTTCGTCAAAAATAAAAAGTTTACTACATCACAAAAATACAAGACTGGGTCTGTACAATTGTGTCATTACAACGCAATGTACACGACAAGCTGGCACATGCTGGCTTCATCCATAATTTATGAATCGTTACTGTACCTATTAATATCTTGAGTCATGGATATTCGAACGCCTGAGTGGCTCCCATGCCCGTAGGCAGGATTTTGAATGAGGGGGGGGGGGGTTCTTCACAGTGCTTGAAGGATCAGCACAATACGCGTGTGGATATCATCCATAATAATTACTCGGTGTTGTCTACTGCAGATCCATTGATTACAAAATACTATAACGTATTTTTAAAGGCACCATTTTCACGCCCGAAAACACATATAAACTAAAAATAAAAGAACGTGCGTCATCTACAGCCCGATAGCAAAACGTATACCGAGTCTCAAAAGAATCCGTCCACCCAAACGCGAGAAACATCTATGAACATGAAAATCTAAATCTCTCACAAAACCCTTCCGCGGAAGGATGTCTCCTTCCCCGGAGGGAATAAACGATTCCACCAGAGTAACCATCAAGTCCTGTACAAATCAAAGAAATGCATTTTGTAATGGCTATTTCATCATCACCATGTTACTATTTGCATTTATTCAGGTCATGGAGTATGAGAACTGAGATCGTCCTGGATTTAGCTAAAGCCCCGTCTCACCTTAACCATGCCCTGCTGATTCCGGTGCTGAGGAGGTTAGAGGAGAAAGCCAGGGCGGCCGGTCATCCGGATTACCCAATGATTACTCTCCACTAGTATGTTGGGGGAGATGGTGCTTAAGGCTATAGGTTCTGATGTTGATGACAGGATAGGATCAAAATTTGCTAAATTAAAGTCGTTAAACAATCGGGCGCGGGATATCACACTCAGCCAGTGTGGCCGCCACCTCCCCCTCCGCCCCAATGGTTTCCTCTGGCCCGGGCGGGGTTCTCTACTGTGTTTAGAGGTGAATGTTACACGTGTCATGCACATGGGCACTCGCAGAAGTACTGCCCATACCGTAGAGGGGCATCCCGGGGCAGGAGAGGGGGGAGAAGGCCAAGAAACTGAATATTAGTAACTAAATTGGTCATGTATTATTGAACAAAACGTGCTCTTATATGGTTTTTGTCGTGACATAGGAAATTAATACGCAAGATTTGACATTAGTAAAGAATAGTGTCCTGTTATTGTTCTTGAATAGACAATGTTGTTCATGTTTACCTATCTTGTTCCATATAAATTAGAGATACCTTAATCTATGTAATGTGATAATCATTACATATCATATTAACACTTTGGAGGGCGATATTTTCAACTGTATGGTTTGATAATAACCAATGTCATAAAATTTTCATAACCTCTAAGGATGCAAAATATAGAAATACACATTGTTACATGGCGCTATACAGTATTATCATTACAGATGAACTGGATGACATG